TACCAGAAAATTGGCTTGCCTGTTTTTAAATATATTATTTTTGCCTGCTCTTTTAACCATATTTCAGTTGCTGTTCAGATCTAATGTAAAAAACGTTCACTAAAAAGAATTTCTGCTTATAAAAATCAGAAGTATCGAAGATGATATAGTATTCGAAGTTATAAATTTAAGTCTAATCGTGATCATGGCACTTCGAACAGCGCCGAAACATCGCGAACTCATTAAATCTGAAAATCGTAAGAACTCGTCAATTTTTTTTTTCATTGCTTAGATGGATAGGCGAGATCACAGTCCTTCTGGTGTTAAGTGATAACTGAAGCCCATAGACATCTACAACGTAAATGCGCCACCCACCTTGAGATATAAGTTCTAAGGCCTCAGTATAGTTACAACGGCTACGCCAACCATCAAGCCGAAACACATTACTGCTTCACGGTAGAAATAAGCAGGGTGGTGGTACCTACCCGTGCGGACTCACAAGAGATCCTACCACCAGTAATAATAGTGTTTATAATTTATAACTTAAAGCTGATTGTAATACTTATAGATCGATGATTCTAAAATTGAGCAAAATGTCAAAGATCTGTAATCATAAAGGGGGTTAAACGAGATTGAACTTCCACTCACTTTTGCGGTGAGCGAGTAAGTTATAGTTTGTTATGTAATAGTAAGTTATACTTAGAACTTGTAAGAACATATGTACAAATACATGTAACTTTAGTTCTAGGAGTGCGATACAATGGAAAGAAACCAAAGAATTCTGTGATGGCCACTTTCCGAATTTGTGTAGCAATAAATTTTCGCTCAGGATCTTGCTCATTCGTCGTCGTTAAAAGCGTGCAGAAAAACGACGGAGAAATATTCAAGGAATGTTTTTCGCAGAATATAAAGGACTACATCTTAGCGTTTTTCACGATTACAATAGGTTCCGGGGGCAGGCTCTCTGCGAAATATATTTCGTCGTGAAACCTCTCATGCGGATTACGATTTTGTTATTGACAGACACAAAACGATTGTATGGAGTTTAATTTGTTTTTTATAAGGTTCGATTCATTCGAAAATACAATGTCACGTAATAAGAATTATTCAAGTTGCAGATCGAACGGCCCTAGAACGGAAGCAAATATGTACTTATGGGAGTACACTCAGACGATTTATTTTTACTGCGTCTATGGCTGAACGAACTCAGAGCGCATTTTTACTAGTTGTAGGACCTTTTGTGTAGACTTATTATCAAATAATCTATCAGTAAAATATCGATTTTAGTTATATTACATCTAGGAAAACATTTGATAGTTATTACAAATTCAGTCAGATATTTTTGCCTTAAGGTCTGACAGGTTAAGTTCGCTCGAAATAAAAAGCATATTTTACTCTGAACCGATTTAAAATTATTAGTTAAATAAATGTTTACTCGTGGTAGGACCTCTTGTGAGTGCGCATGGGTAGGTACCACCACCCTACCTATTTCCACCGTGAAGCAGGAATACGTTTCGGTTGGAAGGGAGGGCAGTCGTTGTAACTATATTGAGACCTTAGAACTTATATTGCAAGGTGGGTGGCGCATTTACGTTGTAGATGTCTATGGGTTCCAGTAACCGCTTAACATCAGGTGAGCTCATCCACCCATCTAAGCAATAAAAAAAAACAAAAAAAATAGCTCACATTGTGTTAAGAGTATAAGATGTATAAAAGTCCAAAGATATTACAACCACGTTAAGTATTTGTTTTTAAGTACAGTACGGCTACAAATATTGCTTATCGACTTTTAGAAAGAGACAATTGGCTAACTTCGGTTTCATAGAACGCATTGTAACCGGGTACTGTACGTTGATATCGTACTCAATAAATTGCCGATTCTCCGGTTATTGGCTTAGTTATCTTTTAAGACACCCTCAGGCAGAAATGGGGTGATGCCATTTTACAACATCACATTGTCTATACAATAGCATCAAAAAAATAACTGTCACAAAGATACTAACTCCGACCCAAAATCTAACTTGGATCACATGATATAGTAGCCATATAGCGCATATTAGCCGTAGTATAGTAGCCGACTCAATTAACAGAACGATCAAGAAAATTAGATAACTAACACTAACTATAATTTCATAATCATATATTTAATAAAAAATAAATTTTGTAAGTTTGTTTTTCTTTTATGATTATGTAAGCAATTCACTCGATTGTGATTTAACCTGATACAGCTATCTATGGCTGGCAATCCAGGGAAGTTCTCTGTTAGAGTACTAACTTTCGATAAATCGATGTTCATACATTTAAAATAGGGATGTCCGCTAATAAGTGATCATGATTATGACGCAACTGTCCTTTATTAAGCCTTATCTTATTTTTTGACGTAGTCACTCAGTTTTATACAGTTTGGGTATCTTTCTCCAAAAACTAAAATAAGTACTCTTTTTAAAAAATCTTGTTCCAGACCCCTTAAAAATTGGTGTTCCGCAGCGAATACTGTGTCATCATCTTCAAATTTATGGCCCCTGAGATATTCCTTTGTCCGCAGAAATAGGTAAAAATAATTAGTAGCTAGGCCCGGTGACTATGAAGGATGTTCTATCAATTTAAAGCCAACTTCTTGATCGGTAGCCATCGCAAATCTGGACTTGTGCGCTGGGGTGTTATTTTGGTGAAACAAAATAAATTTTAATGTGTTACCCTCGCTGTTGCTTGCGTATTTCCTCACCAAACTTTGTTATTTGTCATTCGTGCATATTTCCCGTAACAGAGGCTCTATAATTAAGGTATTTAAATATTACCACCCCTTGGCTGTCCCAGAAAAAACAGCACATGATCTTACCGGCGGATGGAATCGCCTTAAATTTCTTCGGAGTTAGAGATGACTGTCTCTTCCAAGTCATGGACTGTTTTTTTTATTTTCCTGGTCATAATAGTTGTGTATACTACTATTGATACTTCCTATAGAAATCTTAATTTTTTTCTGCTAGAAAACAAACAGTAATACTACGATCAGCCAAGACAATGTTTATAACTTTTGTAATAATTTGTTCAGTCACTACTAACGTAAGGCATACCATGCAGGGGTCACGTGTATGGTAGTTCATCCCCGCTTAAACTCAGCACACCAACATGCAACCGTATATATAATACGGAGGAGCATGAATCTCTATTATTGCTCTCAATTCTTGATTTACCAGCACCGTAGTAAAAATTTTGAAACAAAAATATTTTATTACCGCACGAACTTCAACTTTATTCTTTTTTAAGAACAAGTTCCGGGAATTTCCGCGGTCTACACTGCAACCAGACTCACAGCGTCACCCCTACGACGCCCGACCGACTGGTCGTCGAGGCGATAGTCGACGACTCTACGTCGGCCTAATCGGTACGGCAGCCCGTCAGGCCGCCTCAGGCGGTACCGCTATGCCTGCCAGTTTTTTTTTTTTGTTTCCAAGGAGAATGTATCGTATTATCACTATTTATTGAACACCGCTCGTAGATAGTCACAGTTGAACGCGATCGAACTTTTACCAGGAAATTAGGGAAACTAGGACAGCTCACTATGACTATCACATTTGGAGCTTCTATTTATGGTTACATCTCGCGAGTCACTTAAATATACACAATAGTTATGTTTCCACAAATTACTTTTTGAACTGTCAGAAACTGCTCGAGTACTTAAATATTCCATCAATTGAGCCTTGTTGATTTACGTAGTATTTTCAATGATATCCAAAAAATTTCCATTCCCATTACTAAATAAATGAAGCAAAAAATAAACCAAGTTGTTTTCATAAATTATATCAGACACAACAATAACAGTTTGGATTGTTATTACAGAAAACTCCATTTTTCTTCAACTAGTTCGAACGACTTGCCAACAAAGTTTCACAAATTGAAATTTCAATTGTAGATTAGTTGTCCAAATAAGAATTTGCTAGAACGATTTCAAGTGCTGTTCTCTGTAATTAATAAAGGGAAAGTTTTGAGTAGGTCGGTGACTTCTAAGCTCAAATTGTTTCCAAATTTAATTTCCAAACCAGCTTCGTTATTCGCGTTCGGATGTCTTGTCCCTTGGGATGCTGATCTACTACAAATTTTGTTGATCCTTAATTTTAAAGATCGAGTTCCCCTTTGCTCTCAAGTTATTGACAAATAATAAAGGGGCTCTCATTATTAAGAGATCTTCATATTTAAAAAAAATACTTATTTTCTTTACAACGAGGACACACATATTTGATGCTGAGTGGTCAGCGATGCTCACGGTGATGTCCATGCTGATGCAACACCACAGTTAGAACTGAGTCGCTGCACACCCTTTAGAATATTTTGGACACTCGTCTGTAGAAATACTCATGATTGTCAAACTGATTTGAATTAGCCGATTTTTTTTTAAGTTTATGTAATAGACAGGACAAGATTTATGTAATAGAATTCCTCTAGAAAATCCACAGAAACAATCGAAAACTCGGTTAGTTCATCATGACCTCCCTTCCGCAAGTTTCGTTACAATGACCGCGGTCCCGCATAGCCCGCAACAAAAAGTGCGGGATACTAAGATTAAAATTAAGCTACAAACAAAGCTTTAATTTTTACTCCACTTATGTTCGGTAATATTACGATAAGTGCTAGGTAATAAATAACATCAAATAGTAACGTTATTGTGGACAAATTTGTTGTAATTTTTAAAATTTTAATTTGAAAAATTTAAATGACTTCACAAATATTCAATATAAAATTCACAAATCAAAACTATATTTTGTTTCTAAGGTTTCTTATTTTTTGTACTTATACAACCTACCAACTTTTATACAATAAATTAAACGCATATTTTAACAAACAAATAAATTAACAGGAAAAGTTGAAAGCCTCTTTAAACATTTTTAAACACATAAACTTTAAAACTCTTTTGTTTCGTATACTACATATACCTATACAGTTTCTGTGACTTCGTTACCATTTAAAGCATTAAAAAGTACGAAAGCTGCTCTCAAAATTAATATCTTATTTAAATTAACTGTCTACGGATTAATAACTTTTTCAAACTGCAACAGAATGATAAGGTAGGTAACGAGTAGACCAACAAACTTGAATGGCAGAGAAATATCGATGTTCAACATGCGCAGCAGCGAGAATGACAAATCGCGGGTCTCCGTGAAGGCTAGAAGAGCTCTCGCTATACTCCGACTTGACTTATCTATAATAAAGAAAACGTTAGATTTTCATATATAAGTTATTGCATAGCTTTTATCGCGAGCTTTGAGCGCGGCGACCGAATCAAGAAATTTCGTAACGCAAATAAAACTTAACACCCCCCACTCCGCCTAAGATTTAGCTCGCGTTTAACACATTCACGCGTTGCGCTTGTGTAGTGTTTGTGAATAAGCGCGCGGCGTGAAGTCGCACTGCATGCACATCATGAAAAATCTGCACATCTCTCTCTCGCGCTGTCTAGCTTATGAGTATGAAGGGGACAATTAATGCTTTGCTTTCGTTAATGTTTATAAATATAGCGTGGTCTTATTTTGTTATTGTTTTAATATTAAATTATTATTGTCTAATTATAATTGCATAAGTTGATAAAAAATGCTTTGCAATAGCTTTACCGCGGCAGTCTCCGAGTGCCACACTTTTTTTTATATATTTTATTATCAATTAACTTTTTATAATATGCGCAACATTTCAACTTTTAAAGCATACTTAATCAATTTCGATTTAAAATTAGAAGCTTACAATATTGTGACATTTGGGAGTGTTTGAACTATGAATGGTATTAGAAAGACAATTAAATTGTCAACTGTATGTCTTGAGGTAATCAGCGGCATCCACGAAGCGCTTATCTACGATCTATCACCAATTGAATTCATTGATTCTTTATAAATAAACAATAATTTAAAATTAAATAAAAGGAATATAGTTATTTTAACCGCATCTTATAATTTTAAAGAAAATAACTACATACCCATTTGGTTTTCATAGAGTCTTGAAGCTAAAAGTTCTCTGAGTCGCTTCACTTCAGTGTGGACCTTATCGCCGAAGACGCAAGGTACAAACAATGGGATCATCACTACAAGCGCCAAACCCAGATCAGTCACCAAACAATCAGCGATGTTCTACAACATAATTATTAAAAAGAAAACAGGTAATGTTGAAGTAATGGTGCTCATGGCCCAGAAATGTATCATACTGCTCGTACAAGAAGTCACACGATCAAGAATGATCATATAGTGGTGAACCTCTTGTGAGTCCGCGCGGGTAGGTACCACCACCCTGCTTATTTCAGCCGTGAAGCAGTAATGCGTTTCGGTTTGAAGGGTGGGGCAGCCGTTGTAACTATACTTGAGGCCTTAGAACTTATATCTCAAGGTGAGTGGCGCATTTATGTCGTAGATATCTATGGGCTCCAGTAACCAGTTAACACCAGGTGGGCTGTGAGCTCATTCACCCATCTAAGCAAAAAAATATATACAGCGTTTTCCTGAAAAGTCCATAAAGCGAAGTTTGTTTAAGATATTTCATGTTTGATAACACGTCAGCTATTTACTTACACCGTTAATGGCCTTAGTATGTTTTATTATATTTATTATTATTAATTATTATTAGTTAGTGCCATTAATTTTTCTGATGAAATTTGTATGAATTTTCTAATTAGATAGTTAAATGAAGTCCTTGGAGGTTAACGACAAAGGGAAAATTTGCCACGAAGCGAGTAAAATTGCTCGGTAGACCGACGGTCCGAATGTTATTGTTCGGAACTTGTAGCTAGGTATGCAAATTCATCTTTGAAATGTCGTTAACGAGATTCAGGCATCTGTCAAATATCATGTGTTCTACTAGGCTGCACTAAAAGTATCGGAAATGGAATATTTCCACTGTTCCTGTCATATTTAAATCTTTTTAATTGAAAACTCCTTGGTTTTAAAAATCGAATACCATTTATTTATTTAAAAAAAGATTCTCGGTCTTGTCACGAGGTTTTGTCAAACTTGTTTAGTCGTTGAGAAAATGGAATTGACTCGAGAAAATTCAAGAGCGATGATTTATGATGACTTTCGAAGTGGTTTAACACAAAAACAGTGTGTTGACCGGATGATTTCTGCATTTGGTGATGAAGCCCCATCCAAAACCACAATTTATCGCTGGTTTGCTGAGTTTCAACGTGGACGTGTCAAGCTCAGTGATGATCCCCGTCAAGGTCGTCCAAAAACTGCAGTCACCCAAGAAAACGTTGATGCTGTGCGTAAGCTGATTGAGGAAGATCGACATGTGACATACCGCGAAATTCAGGCAACTTTAGACATTGGCATGAGTCAAATACAAATAATCTTGCATGAACAATTAGGTGTAAAAAAGTTGTTTTCCCGATGGATACCGCATTCGCTCTGTGAAGAGCAAAAAGCGGCTCGCGTTACTTGGTGCGTCAGAACTCTCGAAAGATTCCACGCAGGATCCTCAAATGCTGTATACAACATTGTATCAGGTGACGAATCCTGGATATACGCGTACGAACCCGAAACAAAAAACCAGTCACGAGTTTGGGTGTTCAACAATGAGTTAAAGCCAACAAAAATTGTTCGTTCACGGAGTGTTGCAAAAAAAATGGTGGCCACGTTTGTCTCCAAAACCGGCCATGTTACGACTATTCCTCTTGAGGGACAAAGAACGGTTAATGCAGAATGGTATGCTAGTATTTGTTTGCCACAGGTCGTTTTTGAACTCCGTAAAGAGAACTGTAACCGCCGCATCAGCCTCCATCACGACAATGCGAGTTCTCACACCGCGCACAGAACAAAAGAGGTTTTAGAGCAAGAAAACATAGAATTATTAGACCATCCGCCGTACAGCCCCAACCTAAGCTCTAATGATTTCTATACTTTCCCTAAAATAAAGAATAAATTGCGTGGACAGAGATTTTCATCACCTGAAGAAGCTGTGGACGCCTACAAAACGGCCATTTTGGAGACCCCAACTTCGAATGGAATGGTTGCTTCAATGATTGGTTCCATCGTATGGAAAAATGTGTCAAATTTCGCGGAGAATACTTCGAAAAGCAATAAATACATTTTTAAATAGTAATGTTGTGTCACTTCGTTAATTCCCGAAATTTTCAGTGCCGCCCTCGTACCATAGCTACCCGCAAAATATTTTTTATTTAAGCCTAAATCACAAAGGAAGCGTAATTTAAAAAAAAATATTCAATTGAAGTAATTTAAATCGACTTGCAAAGAAAGTTCTAAGTTTTAATCTTACCATAATTTCGGTAGGAATTGAGTAGAGCTGCTCTGTCCCTTACGAATCAAATTTGTTTTTTTAATTTGAACAATTTTAACATACCTTAAGCAATGTGCCCTCTGTTTATCACGAAAATAAATTGTCAATATATTTTCCTCATCTTTGATTTCGTATTTATTTTCATAATAGCTTGTTAGTAGCTATGCTTAGTGTGTTAACAATACAATAAGATATATTCAGGAACATGTGGATTAATTAGCCGTGAGTAAATAAACAAAAACTTACTTTTCCACGTAAGAAGTGCAGCGAAAAATGATAGCAGAAGCCCAATACAGATATAAACGAAACTATGATGATGAACAATAACTGAAATAAAAATTCACAATTTCATCACATAAAAGCTTTAAAAGTACCTTATATTTTATTGCTTACATAGATGGCGAGCTCACGGTCCACCTGGTGTTAAGTGGTTACCGGAGCCCATAGACATCTAAAACGTAAGCGCCGCCACCCACCTTAATACATGAGTTCTAAGGTCTCACTTTTTTAAGAGTACAACGGCTGCCCCATCCTTCAAACTGAAACGCATTACTGCTTCCGACAGAAATAGGCAGGGTGATTCGGACTCACAAGACGACCTACCACCAGTAAACATATATTTTTCTCATTTTGATTTAAATATTGTTAACAACAGAATATTATTTGGAATTTAATAAAATCCTTTCTTACCTGCCATTTAATAGCGTCGATAAGATATCTGTAAGATTCTACAATAATATAATAAAGATCCATTATTTTTTTCATTTGACAGTTCGATTCCTTATTATAATATTTAAATAAAGTAACATGTTTCAGTACGCTCGACTCCCTTTTATCGCTTGTGGTAGTTAATGAGGATTCCATGTAATAGTTTATTAAATGTAAACGCGGGATAAGTAAATTGAGAAGGTGGCCATAATAATGCACTTCGAATGACACAAAGGCGTGCATGGGAAGCAAATATATAACTGGTTTGATTAGAATCTGAAGTGAATTCGGTACAATAAACACCAAAGCTATCAGAACATTTATAATGCAAGTCTGAATTACAAGTTTACTGGAACCTTGTGCAGTTATTGGTCTGCATCCGATGCAAATATCAAACTTACAGAGCTCTGAATAATACAGGCGCATTCTCTTCCAAAAAACCATACCAAGGAAGGAACATAAGATATGTAATACAAGGTTCAAACTCATGATAGATAATGAGACAGAATCAAACCCGAAAAAATTTAGTACACACATTAGTACGAAAGTATAAATTATAGAAGGAATTGTATATACATGTTTCGATGATATAATAGGCAACCTATTAACGCCTACAAGAAAACTACATATTATAAAAAACTTTGATACTTTGTCTACAGTGTACTTTGCTTGGGGTTGAACAAATGTATTGATATGGACTAGCGGTGGTGACATCCTATCAACTTCACGAATACTACAAACAAATTGATGAACCTCAAGTCGTTATGGTATCTAATATACTAATGGCGAATAAGTAATAGCATGAGTGCTTCATCCACTAACATTGTTTTTGGCTTCTCACAACAAGCAGTTGTCATAAATTTGATTAATTCGATGATACGACACTATCACATCGGTGTTGATTGTCGGAAAAAGTGTACCCATCAATAAATTAAAACCAATTAATTTAAGTAACGGAATTTCCTTGTACAATTGATTTGATTAGAATAGAGATAACCCCGAAAAATTATCTTTTTTTTTGTTTGTTGTAAACGAGTAGATTTTAATTGAAGGGAAGTAGGTGAGTACTATAAAAAGGATCTCGTTCCTTTACCAGGCGCGGACTAACATCCAGCCAAGCACATTCGTAATGTTTTAAATCTAAACCAAACACGGTACTCGTATCCCACTCCTCAAGGCGTTCAGCCACATCCATAGACACACTAAAACTGAGATTTTTCAAATATCAAAAAGATAAAGATACCACACTTTATTCGTTTCTCTGTATTTTCATAACAATGTCGAAATCTCACACTATTATATATGTTACAAAAATATTTATTTCATCAAGGAATTGCCGATTTTTGATAATTATCACAGTTATTCAAAAAATAACATCGTGAAACACAAAGCTACAGTTAGTGCAAAAAAAACTGAAATAAATCATCTCAAAATTCATATCATAGAGCCCGATACTGTTATAAGAATTCAGAATGGTGCTATTATTATTTTCATTTTCTTTCGCCGACGTGTGTTATGACTAAAGAAATGACTGTGAAATGACTTCCCTTCTGCGTTAATGAGAAAACATCAACCCATACCATGAAATGAATTTGTAAAATTTAATAAGAATACAGTTTCAGAGTTATGAAGCTTGTGAATAAAGTTCATTTATACGTTTGCAATAATAATGTGGTATCTGTATTTTATTCTCTGGTCTTTTCCATTTTTCTACACGGAGCGGAGACCTGGACCCTTAAAGCGGCTGATCGCAATCGCGTGGATGCTTTTGAGATGTGGTGTTGGAGAAGAATGCTCCGAATACCTTGGACAGCGAAAAGAACTAGTGTGTCTATCTTAGACCAACTACACAACCAACTACAAGGCTCTCCACACTCTGCCTTCGCCGCGCACTCAACTAATTCGCTCATATTGCTCGAGAAAACCTAATAGCTTAGGGAGACTATTCGTGACAGGGAAGATCGAGGGAAAGAGTCCGCGCGGGCGCAGTCCAACCAGGTGATTTGATCAAATCCGCGCCACACTAGAGAACTTTAGAAGTCGTCGTGACCTAAAGGATAAGAGGTCCGGTGCATTCGCGTTGAGC